TTACACAATACTATACAAAAATACAGAGTTTCAATACATACTACAGTAAGTGATTTTGTTGCTGTATGTTAAAGAATATATTATTATACAGTTATAGCTAATAGGTATATAATGATTAGGTATAAAATATAAGCAAAAACTTTTGAGGTATAATGTATTCAGATTTACTTCAAAAACCATTGTTATAAACAATAAATTRTCTATRTTGCATTGATTGATTGCATTATATTTCAATAAAACTCATTATTTTATTTTTCAAGTAGGTGTAATTCCACTAGTCATTAATTTTATGCTTATTGCTTGTATAATTCTTCCTGATTAAAAACATTAAAATGCTTATTGATAAATGGTGAGGTTTCTTTGATTTGCACTATACACATTTATATCACACACTATTCATACTTTTTAACTATGATAAATATTTTGAATATTTCACCCATTCACATCCACATCACCTATATATATAGTTTACTATATAAAGTAAAATGGAAAAAAATTCTCATTTCCGAACAAATATTTTTCACTATTATTATAGACATTGAAGATTACAAAGTTAATAAATATATAAAAGAAGCAACAACAAGGTGTTCAATAGTTTCATTATTTCTTAGTTGAACATTTCTGAAGTTTATCAAGAACTCGAACTACCATAATGTTATCAAATTAAAAATTACTGTCAAGTTAGGCATTGTTACTGAAAAAAAATGTAGGAAGTAACTTATTTTTGAAGTTGTACTATAAGCTAAGAAATAATTGTATGGATGTGTGTGMAAATTAATTATCAAGACATTTTAATTAAAACAGAAAAATATGAACGAAAAAGTACGTTTAAGGTAATTTCAAAACACAAGATATAACTGTAGAGCATTATTAAATGCTGACCTTTTTAAAACCCTAGATCGCTAACTATTCGTCGATTCGACGAACACTGATAATTTTATTGTTGCTATTTTTAGGCATTTTATCTAATATCATTAAACCCTCCTTGTATCTCTCATATATTATGTCCTATATCTATCCCGATAACGTTTAGCGATCTAGCTTGACTAGTGACTGTTCAGCCGTTGATTGTGTAAGAATTACTTCGCCGAATCGACGAATGGTAAGTAATTGTAGTATATTTGCATTCGTTTATTTGACGAATAGTTATCAAAATATGTTATTTTTTGTTCGTTCATGTGACGTATCGTTATAAACAACGGTGTTCTTTTGTAAAATTGAAATAAATGGATTTATTATAAATATTCTAGATGGCACGTGAAATAATGGATGAGAATGATATACTGAAGGCACTGGAAGAACTGGAAGAACAAGATAGTGAAAATGAAGATATTTTAGAAGATTGTGAAGACGATAGTGATGCTGACCCCGACTATGACCCAAATCCAATCGAAGAAGCAAATTTAGAAGAAGCCATTTTAGTAATTGAAAATTCTGTTGAGAAAACGAAAAAGAGGTCTAAAGTAAATAAGCCGAATGTTAATGAAATTCCAACCATCGAAACACGTCAGAACATACCACGTGAGTCATTAATTTGTTTTGATACAGATAATGTTGTAGGAAAAAATGGATTTACATGGAAAAGTAAACCTTATTTGCTTCCATCTACTTCTAAGACCGCCGCTAAAAACATAGTTCATATTAGACCTGGGCCAACAAAAAATGCTATTTATGCATCAGAGCCACTAGAGTGTTTTTTATTATTTTTCCAATAATTTGGTAGCTGTGTCATTCAAATCAAAACCAGACAAACTTGTAACTTTAATTTCTTCACTTCATGATGATAACACAATAGATGAAATAAATAAAAAACCAATTATAATTATGAACTATAATGAAACAAAAGGTGGTGTCGATAGCTTTGACCAAATGTGTCAGAATATGAACGCTGGCAGAAAAACACAACGTTGGCCATTATGTATTTTCTATAACATGATTAATATAGCTTCAATTAATGCATATGTTATTTATTTACATAATTTTTGCAAAAATAATACTTCAGGCTCGAAACCCTTGTCTCGTTTTCAATTCATGATACGTTTACAAGAACAACTATGTGAAGATTGGATGAGATCAAGACYTTCTATTCCCACATTGCCGACAAATTTGAAGAAACATATTGAAGATAGTTTAGGAATAAAAGACACAGTTCAACTACAACCTCAAGAAACAGAAGATGGAACATCAATCAACAAAAGAAAAATTTGCACTTTTTGTAACTATAAAAAAAGGCGAATGACAAAAACTCAATGTGCAACATGTAAAAAACATATTTGTGGAGAACATCAAATAGTAACTTGTCCAATTTGTAATGCTAAATAACCTGTGTATTACCTACTCTTATATAATTATTTTATACCTTTATAGAGTTATAATTTATGTTTAACGATTTTACATTTTAAAAATG